ATGCTACCAACCCTTCTTCTCTGAGATCTTCTTCTTTGGTGTGAAATATCGAACACTTCTGAGCCCTGTGGCCCCAGAAAGTGAAAATTGTTAAGAGATCTCTCTACCCCTTTATGTTCTTGGAAAGAACCACCCTTTTTTATTCAGAGATAAAACCCATCTGCACCCCACAGTGTGATTCCCATAATTGCCCATCCTTCTGCACAATGGCCTTGTTTACTTGCTTTCATAGACCTCATCGTTTCTCCTTCTTTGAGACATTCTGCGTTAATGAATATTTTTCCTACTGCAACAGCCTGAATAAAATCATCCCTTAATTATGCAGTCCATCTTTCACATTAGAGATGCCTTGGAATTGAAATACATGATTAAGATAAAATAAACAAGATAAGTCAAACAAAAACAATAAATACCTCATTAAGCAATAGAATTCTATTTTAAACTGTACACACACATATGATGAAAGTATTTAACAGCAGATCCTAGAGACAGTAGTAAAATTCAACAAGTTACTGGGTTAAAATAGTCTCAATAATAGATTATTTAATTTCAGGTGTTTTAGAGAGTTCATTATAAAACTGTGGACAAATATGAGTTTATAGTCATTTCAATAATAATCAACTGTTTAAATACAGAGAAATAGCAGTCCAACTGTACTTTAAAGTACTTCGGGTACTGTATTCGTTTCCTATTGCTGCTATAACAAATTATCATGAAATTAATAGCTGAAATGCACAAATCTGTCTAATAGTTCTGGACATTTGGAGTCCATGCGGTGCCTGAGTGGCTTAGTCACTTAAGTGTCCAACTCTTGGTTTCAGCTTACATCTGATCTGGCAGATTGTGAAATTGAGCGCCACATAGGGCTCCATGCTGACAGCATGAAGCCTGCTTGGGATTCTCTGTCTCTTCCTCTCTGCCTTTTTTAAAGAGTCCAAAAGTGTCTCATTGCACTAAACAAGAAGTCAGTAGGGGTGCGTTCCTTCTGGAGGCCCTAAGTGTAATCTGTTCTCTTGCATTTTCCATCTCCAGAGGACACCCACGTCCCTTGACTGATGGCCTCCTTCCACCATTTTCAAAGCTGGCAATAGTGAGTTGAGTCCTCATCACATCACATCACTCTGACCTCTTCCATTTTCCTCCTCCATTTCAGAGGAGTCTTGTAATTACCCTGGACCCAACTGTGTAATCAAACATAATACCCCCATCTTAAGACCAGCTGATTACCAATCTTATTTCCTCTTTGTCATATAACATATTCATAGGTTATGGGAATCAGCACTGGAACATCTTCAGGCAGCCGTTAATCTGCCTACCACAGATAATATATTCATCTTTACCCTAAGTGGAAGTACCTTGAGTTTTCCTGGCACAAACAGTTCTAGGAAAATACTACTGTAGATGCGGTTTCTCTACTCTTGTCTGAGACCTTTTTCCTTCCTTTACCCAGACTTGTTCCTGCTCCACCTAGGCCTTGGACCTAATTTGCCCCATTATCCTTCTGCACAAACCTGTTCTCGGAAAGGATCTGTGCATTCAGCCCTAGTACGGGTGTGTGCAGCAGTGGCCTAATGCACGACAGATCTTCTCTCCCTGGATTTTTATAGTTCAACAGATGGTAACATGTCTACTTTTAGAGATAAATGTGTGGATGTGGGAAGTATTATGCTGGTGGAGGTACTTTAAAGAGCTTTGGACTCTTTAGACTAAAGCTTACTAGCTTTAGACTGTGCTATGTACAAAGCCAGCCGTGTAGATGAGATCGCTAGGGCTGTGCTCTTGTTAAACTTCTACCAGAAAAGAGAGTTTTCAGTTTGGGACCTTAGAGCATAAGTAAATGACTGCTCTAATCCCTTACCTTAACCTAGTCCCAGAATCTCCACGTGGCAGAGAAAATGAAACAAAACAAAAATCCTTTAAACATGCATTGCCCATGAAGTCATTACTTCTCATATAGGTCTTCTTTATTTTTTTGCATCTTAAATCAACCCATATTTATTACTTCACAGTTTATTTTATTTTATTTATAGTGTAGTTAACATATTTATTAGTTTCAGATGTACAGTATAGTAATTCAACAATCCCATGTATTACTCAGTGCTCATCAAGGTAAATGTACTTACTTTTAATCCCCTTTATATATTTCACCCATTTCGCCACCCACTTCTCCTTAGGTCATCTAGAAAGAAGATAAAATTATTAATGCTAGTAATAAAAGAGAGGATGTTACTGCAGATCATAATATCCAAAGAAGAAAGAAATCTTACAAACCAAATTTTATTCTACTAAATTGAACAACGTAAGTGAAATAAACATATTTTAGAATGATACAAAATATCAAAGTTCACTGATAAGGAAATAGAAAAACATGAAAAATTAAATATCTTCTAAATAATTAATTCATAATTATAAATCTCCTCATAAATGTTTATAAACCAGAGAGATTTCTTGGTGAATATTCCCAAGAAAGAAGAAGCAATACTAATTACATTAAAACCTTTCCAAAAGTTAGAAAAGCTCTCTCCTACTCATTTTAGGATGGCAACATTACCCTGATACCAAAGCATTGAGATCGTACAAGAAAACTATAGATTGTATTTTTCAATAACATAAATGCAAAATTCCACGAATTTAATGACTTAAAATGAAATATTAGCCAATCATGTCTATTATTATAGATGATAATTATTCATAGACTTTTGCAACAAATGGTGCTAGGATAAGTGAATATACACACAAAATAATAAAATTGAAACTTTATCTCATAACACATACAAAAAATAACTTAAAATGAGTTAAATGCCTAAATAAAATAGATAAAACTATAACATTCTGAGGAGAAAGCACAGGGCTAAATCTGAATAACCTCAGATTTGGTAACAGAGCCTTAGCAATGACATGAAAGAAAGAACAACTAAAAGAAAAAACATAGATAAATTAGACTTCATCATAATTTAAAATTTTATGCTTCAAAGGATACTATCAAGAAACTGAAAAGCCAATGAACAGTATAGTAGAAAATACCTCAGATCACATATCTGATGAGGTATTTGTATCCTGAATATATAAAGGACTCTTACTGCTAATGAAAATTTAAATTACAGTGAGATATGACATCACGACCATTAGAATAGCTATAATTTTTTTTAAAAGACAAATTTTGTCGATAATGTAGAGAAATTAGAATCGTCATAAATTGTTGGCAGTATATAAAATGGTGCAACCACCTGGAAAAACAGTTCAACAGTTTTTCAAATTTCAAAAATAGACTTAAATATGACCCAGCAATTCCATTCCTGGTAATGTACTCAGGAGCAATGAAAATATCTGCCCCTACAAACCTGTAGGCATAAATATTTATGGCTACATCATTCACTATATGGCCAAAAGTTGGGACAATCCAAATACCCACCAAGTGATTAACAGATAAACAAAATATGGTGTATTCATACAGTGGAGCATTATCTGATTACATGGATGAATCCTGAAGTCATGATGCCTGGTAAAAGAAGCTGGTCACAACACATGTTTTGCGATTAATTTCTATGAACTATTCAGATTAGGCAGATATACATAGAAAGACTGGTGGTTGGCTTAGGTGTGGGGAGGATTTGAGGAGGGGGTGGGTAATAGCTAAAGGGTATAAGGTTTCTTTCTGAAGTGTTAAAAATGTGGTAAAATTGTGGCAATGGTTATAAAACTCTGAATATACTAAAAAATCATTGGACTATATACTAAATAGATGAATTGTATGATACATGAATTATATTTCAATAAAGTTGGTGACTGCATACTTTCCCAGTGTGAGGGTGCAGCTCATAATCAGCTTGCATTATAGAGCTGCCTAGGGTCCTGCGTGGAGCCCAGAAGAGCCGGTGGGTACCTTCCGCCCCCTCTCCCTCTGGCTCACTCCAACAAGAAGGTCAAGTGTCCAGATTCTCCCTGGAAGGAACTTGTCCACACATCTAGCATTCCAATCCCCTGAGCCATCTGAGCAACTGCCACCTAAATCATCTAGCTCTGGGCACATGTGTCCCACAGTATACGAAACAAAGAGGCAATTATATTTGGGTGCAAAAGCACTCCCAGCAATTATACCCTTTGGCTCAGCCCAGAGTAAGTATGCAAAAATACCAAGCTCTAGATTTATCCCTGGTAGGGATAGACTGTAGATTTAACGTCCTGACAATCCCAGCGGCCGCCTGAGGAGTGGGCTTCCAGTTAGCCTGCATTGGGCAGCCAGAGGGACAGAAAACTAGTAATCCTTCAGAAGCCCAACAGGAGAGCATGCTGAAACCAGAATACACCTCCCAAATATTTTGTTGTAAGAAAAATCCAGACATAGAATTCACACTATGTGATTCCATTTATGTGAAACTCAAGAACAGGCAAAACTAATTAACTTAAGGCAGAGAAATCATTGTTCATGGGGAATGGGGATTAATGGGAAGCCAATATAGAAGTGAAACTGATTAGGAGAAATAATTTGGAAGGCACATCATGGTCCCAAGGAGTTACGATAGTAGCATTAGGCCTTGTCATATGCATATATGAAAGAAGTATTTATTTAAATATTGGTAGGAGATAAGGCAACTGCTACTCCTTGAGCCAATTTTTTTTTTTTTTGCTTACACAACACAGTGCCTTATGATCTCATCGTTCATACTAGCTCCTTTTTTTTAAGTTTATTTATTGATTTACTTAGAGAGAGAGTGAGAGAGCATGAGCAGGGGAGGGGCAGAGAGAGGTGGAGAGAGAGAATCTCAAGCAGGCCCTGCGCTGCCAACACAGGGCTCGAACTTATGAGCCCAGAGATCATGACCTGAGCCAAGATCAAGAGTCAGATGCTTAACTGACCATGCCACCCACCTACCCCCACAGTACTTACTGCTTTAACTAACTCTGTAAAACTTGGTAAAGTGGTTCAGTGGGAAAGGAATAGCTAACTCGCTAATACAGAATAGCTAAATAACTCACTACTATCCACTGTTCTCCAACAGAGATCTGCATGGGGAAAGACTTGTTTGTGCAGAGAAAAAGAATAGCAGTGCCCACGCCATAGGAGTGCCCCAAGTGGAACACACTGGAGTCCCCAAGACACCGCAGAAGAGATCCTACACTTTCTACAGGTAATAAAGTGTCCAATTCCTTATTGTTATGTTTGACTGCTAACTGCTTTTATACCTCACTCTTCTCCTTTTCTCTTGCACACTACATCTGGGAAAGTTGATAAGAAAGTTCAAGTATTCCTTCCTTAAGCACCTATGGGGCAATCATACTACATAAGTCCCTGCCTACCCATAGGGAAAAATATTCACACCAGCTCCATCCACTGACCAAAATAAAAACTCCTGCTCTCTCAAGCCATTTTTGGACCAGCTTGGGAAGCCTGCCTTGCTCTCCTCCTTATATAAGCAGTCAGGCTTTTCATGCCTTCGTGTGTGTGTGTGTGTGTGTGTGTGTGTGTGTGAGAGAGAGAGAGAGAGAGAGAGAGACTGACAGATAGACATCATTAGTTTTGACATCCAAACCAAATCTAGGGAGGTGATACATCCTAATTCTGCAGAGCACCACAGCATTATGTACTCTCAAGGACATTGGGGCTCTAAACATTGGAAGAGGAGAAGGAATTAAGTATCAATAAGAAGTCTTCCTGTTTGACACTTTGCGTAAGTTTAGCTGTATTTACGGAGGTGGAGTGGAATGAAACCAGATGTAGAGATCTTCAACTGGATACCAGTAGCACTAAATGAAAGGCTGAGACTATATCAGACGCTTTAGATGGGAAGATTAAGTAGAAATCTGTCCAGCTTATTTTATGGTACATGAAGTATTACAGTAACTTCAGGGAATTTTTCATGTGTAGCTTTGATAATCAAGAATGATGATAGAGTTAAAGGTCTATTTCAGTCTTTTAAGTTCATGGATTTTTTGTGTGTGTGAACTTGGTATAACCTACCCAGATAAAGACCAGGCATTTACACTAGCAATACTGAAAACTCACTAAGCTTTATCAGTGTCTTTGCATATATATGCAAAATAGAAATACTTGGGGCAAAAAGTAGAATTACCAGACTGCATTCATCCGAATAAAATTCAAGTCCGTTTACCACTGAATGATTTAGGGTGATTAAGAATTGATATTATATTAAAAAAAAGAATTGATGTTATATTAAGGATATATTTGTTTTAAAAAGACAAACATGGTATTTTCTTGATTTACAAATATTCCCCACTGACATCTCCATGGTTTTTCATTATGATTTATGCTGCCACTTGGTCTAATTATGAATTAATGATTAGATTCATTTAAAGATTAATTTGATAAAGTGAACATTCGTTCATGAAGAGAAATTGTCAGTGATAACTAACTCTGTACTGATGATCAGAAAACAGGAATGTAAGTAAAATAACGCTTGCCTACAGTTGACCATTAACTTTATCCCACTGATATTAACAACTTTTTTTTTTAATTTTTTTAATGTTTTATTTATTTCTAGGAGAGAGAGAGACAGCGTGAGCAGGGGAGGGTCAGAGAGAGAGGGAGTCACAGACTGAAACAGGCTCCAGGCTCTGAGCTGGCAGTCAGCACAGAGCCCGACGCGGGGCTCGAACCCACAAACCGCGAGATCATGACCTAAGCGAAAGTCGGACGCTTAACTGACTAAGCCACCCAGGCGCCCCTGATATTAACAACTTTTAATAGCATTCTTTAATTAACCACGGTCCTATACTTACGTAGTTATCCAAAACTTTTCTTTCAAGTTTGTTTTCTTTGCAAAGGTTTTAATCAGAACAACTGTGATCTTAAACCCCTTTACATTCAAACTCTTCATTTTTAAGAGCACTCTGTCCAATTCATTTGAAGTGTAGTCTGCTTACAACTGAGTGCATCTTGACATTTGAGAATTAATATAGGCCTCAAGAGAAAGTGCAATTTACTCATTTTCATGGCTGTTCTTATTTACTGACGTATATGGTCATATTAAAGATGTATTAATTGCACTTCAATATTAACCCTGACGGAAGAGTCTATGAATAAGAGCTGATACCACCCTTTTACAGTGTTGGTGGGAATGTAAACTGGTACAGCTCCTCTGGAAAACAGTATGGAGGTTCCTCAAAAAATTAACAATAGAACTCCCCTAGGACCCAGCAATAGCACTGCTAGGAATTTGCCCAAGGGATACAGGAGTGCTGATGCCTAGGGGCACATGGACCCCAATGTTCATAGCAGCACTCTCAACAATAGCTAAAACATGGAAAGAGCCTAAGTGTCCATCAACGGACAAATGGATCAAGAAGATGTGGTTTATCTATACAATGGAATACTCCATGGCAATGAGAAACAATGAAATCTGGCCATGTGTAGCAATGTGGATGGAACTCAAGGGTGTTATGCTGAGTGAAATAAGTCAGGCAGAGAAAGATACCATATGTTTTCACTCATGTGAAATAGGAGGAACTTAACCTAAGTTCTCCCTCTCCCTCCTAAGGAGAGGAAGAGAGGCAAACCATAAGAGACTTAAATCCTGAGAACAAACAGGATTGATGGGGGCTGGGGGAGAGGGGTGAATGGGGGATGGGCATGGAGGAGGGCACTTGTTGGGATGAGCACTGGGTGTTATATGGAAACCACCTTGACAATAAACTATATTTTAAAAAAGAAAAAAAGAAAAAGTAAAGAAAAAGAGCCCACACACAATTATGTACCTATTTGTCCCCTTATCCTTTTTAAAGGTTCCTTTTGGAAGGTTGGAAGAGAAATCATCCAATAAAGGATAAATAAACCCAAATGCACTTTTTAAAGTTTTATTAATTAATTAATTCTGAGAGAGAGAGAAAGAACATGAGCAGGGGGAGGGCAGAGAGAGGGGGAGGCAGAGAATCCCAAGCAGGCTCCGTACTGTGAGCTCAGAACCCAACACAGGGCTCCATCTCAGGAACCATAAGATCATGACCTAAACAGAAATCAAGAGTGGATGCTTAACCTACTGAGCCACCCAGGCACACCCAAATGCATTTTTTAAATTCACCAATGTGGTGCTCCTGGGTGGCTCAGTCTGTTAAGCATCCAACCTTGGCTCACGTCATGATCCCAGTTCGTGGGTTTCAGCCCCGCGTTAGGCTCTATGCTGACAGCTCAGAGCCTGGGGTCTGCTTCTGTGTCTCTCTCTCTCTCTGCCCTACCCAGCTCACACTGTCTCTTTCAAAAATAAACAAACATCTAAAAAATAAATAAAACCACCAACAACTTTATCATTCCTGCCAGGAACCATCAGCTGTACTCAGATGAGCTTTAATGGAGATTTGTGTACCAGAATCCTGCCCCAGAACCTCCTAACTAGAGCTCATTACACTTTTTTTTTTCAAATGCTTACTCAGAGAAGCATACTTAATAGTGAACTTAACCTTTCAAAAACTGAAATTACAAAGCAATTGAATAGGAGGGGGTAGAAAAGGGTGCAGAAGAGAGGCAGTTTCATCACTGGAGGAAAAGGCATCATCAGAAGGAGCCCTGTCTCTGGTAACCCTGTGAAGGCGTCCCGCTGGCGAGCATCTGTCTCGTTTTGGACACTGGTTCCTGGTCTCCTTGAGGCTGCGAGAGACTCCGGAATTAGTCTCCGTTATTTACGTCAGAAGTTGTTAAAAGTTCTCCCATAGCTGTTTGGCATATAATTCATTGCAAAAGTTTATTGTCTCATTTATTTGTTCAGCCCATAATCTTCTCTATTAATAATTTAACCTTGTTTATCATTCAGCTTAACCTGAATGAATAGCCAGTTTCATGATCCTTCAGGTAAATCGATCTTTTGTAAGGTCGGTCCCCTACATTTACTCTGTACCATCGTACGTGGCAGATGACTTGTGTATGCAGCACAACACTCCTGTCAGAATACCAGAGCAGTTAACCCCTCGCCTGCCAGCTGCAGTTCCACACCATCCGCTTTGCAACTGGAAAGAAGAGTGCCTGGAAACAAACTGGTAGTGATGTTATGTATCATAGATACAATCTTGAATTTGGAGATTCAAGCTTTCACGATAAAAGCCTTAATAATAGAAGTAAAATACATCTTAAAGCTGATGAGTATGTCACAATTAATAGATCAGCGTATGAGATTAAAAATTATAGAGCAGTCAGGGGCGCCTGAGTGGCTCAGTTGGTTGGGCATCTGACTTCAGCTCAGGCCAAGATCTCACAGCTCATGGGTTCGAGCACAGCGTCGGGCTCTGAGCTGACAGCCCAGAGTCTGGAGCCTGCTTCTGATTCTGTGTACCCCTCTCTCTCTGCCCCTCCCCCACTTATGCCCTGTCTCTCAAAAAGGAATTTTTTTTTTATCTTAAATAAATAAATAATAAAGATTATAGAGCCATCAAATGAGTACCATTTGTGCTACATGGGAACGGAAAACTTTAACTTCAAAGAGCATTGTTGATGACCCACAAGTTACTACATAATGATTTCTGATTGAAGGAGTTCTCTACATTTCAAAGAGTCAGATGATAACTGCCAATCATCTGTGTCTCCTTTCTACATAGAAATCTGGCCCATTGTCCTGAAAGAATATGATTCTTTACAATCTTCTTACCTGATTGCAGTGTTTCTTATATTCGCCAGGGCTGCAGACATAGACTCACCAAGTCACATGGGAGAGTCTGACACACGTTACTTCACTTTCATGACACTGACACATAAAAAGATGATGGATAATTATTTTGTAGATGCTCCCTCAATTGAGGTTTTGCTGATTTGTTTTTTCTGATTACTTACTTTTAGTTTATTCTTTAACAGGAATATCTCAAAAATGCTATGAAATATTTTGTATTCTATCAGGTGTCACACATTTTCTCTGTGCACCCTTACTGGTGATGTTCACCTTGATTACTTTGTTGAGGTGCTTGCTGTCTGTCAGAATTTAGTGTAAAGTTACTTCCTTTATTTGTATTTAATAAGTCTTTTGTAGCGAGAAAGTTTTATGTGTTGGTTTGGCTAGGCTGTAATACCTAGTTATCTAATCAAATGTATTTAATCAAGGTATTTTGTAGAAGTAGTTAACGTCTGTAATCAGTTGACTTTAGTGAAAGGAGATTGCCCGAGATAA